AACGAAAATGAAAATTTGCTTGATAATTCAACTACGCTTGTTGGAGAACAATAAAAACACTACACTCAACAAGCCACCAATAAAACTCAACTGCCTAACCTATAACCAAAGTCTCCTTTTAATTTGTTTTTTTAAAAAAGCGCTTGACAAACTTGCCCCGCATGCCGAAGTTGCCCCGATCTCCCCTATTAGTAAGGAGCAATTCTTTATCGTCATAATACCAGGCTGCAATTTTTAATAATATTTTTAATTTATTTAATTTAAAATATATGCTTTCCACCTCAAATTAGTACCGTCTTGCCCCTGTACAGCAAACTTTCCCTTTAACAACAGAGTCATCTATGTAATTCCATTGGGGGTAAATCGAAGAAAATGAGAGCATGTGCATGCGTGATATGACTGAAAAGTCGGTTGGCCGTTTTTCTGTAAGCAATTCAATGAGTTTTTTCACGCGAATCAGTCATTTGTGTGTGTCAAAACGCTTTGGTGTTTGAGCTGAACAAGAAATATCTTATTTTCGAATTAAAACGTAAAAAAACCACCAAAAATATTAGTGTCTTTTAATGTTTTATTTAATTTTTTTAATTCAAAAGTGAATTATCGTTTATGGTTTTAAATTTTTATTAAGAAAATCATTCATCTTCGAAACTTTTGAAAAGTGCATAAGTAATAATATATTTTAATAAGGCAGCAATTTAGTTTACATAATTGTTAACTGATTTTATGATACTTGTATGGGAAGATTGAAGTAATATAAAAATAAAAATTACTTATATTTATGAAATACCAAAGTCATAAAATTCAATAACAATATACGATGAAATATTTATCAATATGTTAGTTAATTTTCTCAAAGTTTAAATTGAGTTTTAATTATTTTTTTAAGAATTACTCCTCNGCAAATTTGAGAGTTTGCCCCTGAGACTTGTTTATTGTCATGGCAAAGCAGACTTTTAGGGGAAACTGTAATCGTTTAAATTCGAACAGGATATCATTAGGTATTAATGGGATTCGTGGTATAAATACAGTTTCCCCTTTCGCACACCCAGTTAATATAGTGGCTTCCACTATATTGCGATGTAACGCTTTCACTTGCAGTCTCATACCGTTACAGAGTTTTGGAGGTTTTAAATTTCGCAACAACATAATTGGAGTGCCCACACGCAGAATAAGCTTATGATAAGGCAAACCTGGCGGTTTCAATAAATTTAAAAATTCTACAGGGTAATTAGTAGCGTCATCTGTATTAACCACAGTATCAATCGAAGTATAGACCCTTTCTTCGCCCTCAAACGACATGAGCAGGATATCGTTGATAGCTGCTGCTTGATCGTTCTTTGGAGTAAGTATGGCACGCTCACATAACCATTCAATAGGCTTGTCATGTATATGAATAATGTCTGGATAAACTTTAGACAGCAATTCTTGAACCGTAGTAACAACTGTGCACAATTCTTCCGGGATGGTTATCATTCCATCAAACGATGGAAAATCACCATTACCGATTTTAAGAAGGAGATCTGAAAATCTACCAGCAGTGTCATCCCCGGCCAAATGTGCTCTCATATTTTTAGAGAGCTTAAGAATATTAACCTGGGGCCACAAATTAGATTTCTTAATGCACGACTTTACTTCGTCAGCTCTGGTTCCTTTTGGCACCACTGGTAGAGTCTGCCGAAAGTCTCCGGCCAGCAAAACTGTTACGCCACCCATTAATTTTGTATTACCCCTTATATCCCTTAGTGATCTGTTTAAGGCTTCAATACCACTTTTATGAGCCATCGTTATTTCGTCCCACACGATTATTTTTGTACTCTTTAAAACTTCAGCAAAATTACTTTGTTTGGAGATGTTGCAAATGGGAGTCTCGGCAGTGATTAAATTGAGTGGTNGCATGCCGAAGTTGCCCCGATCTCCCCTATTAGTAAGGAGCAATTCTTTATCGTCATAATACCAGGCTGCAATTTTTAATAATATTTTTAATTTATTTAATTTAAAATATATGCTTTCCACCTCAAATTAGTACCGTCTTGCCCCTGTACAGCAAACTTTCCCTTTAACAACAGAGTCATCTATGTAATTCCATTGGGGGTAAATCGAAGAAAATGAGAGCATGTGCATGCGTGATATGACTGAAAAGTCGGTTGGCCGTTTTTCTGTAAGCAATTCAATGAGTTTTTTCACGCGAATCAGTCATTTGTGTGTGTCAAAACGCTTTGGTGTTTGAGCTGAACAAGAAATATCTTATTTTCGAATTAAAACGTAAAAAAACCACCAAAAATATTAGTGTCTTTTAATGTTTTATTTAATTTTTTTAATTCAAAAGTGAATTATCGTTTATGGTTTTAAATTTTTATTAAGAAAATCATTCATCTTCGAAACTTTTGAAAAGTGCATAAGTAATAATATATTTTAATAAGGCAGCAATTTAGTTTACATAATTGTTAACTGATTTTATGATACTTGTATGGGAAGATTGAAGTAATATAAAAATAAAAATTACTTATATTTATGAAATACTAAAGTCATAAAATTCAATAACAATATACGATGAAATATTTATCAATATGTTAGTTAATTTTCTCAAAGTTTAAATTGAGTTTTAATTATTTTTTTAAGAATTACTCCTCTAAAATAGATTAAATTCATTCAGTTGACTTTTACAATGAAAAGTAATTTAAGTATGTACGACAGCAATCAGTTCTGTAATGATTCATGCTGAACTTTTCTTTTGTTATGCAAATAATCTTGACTTGTGTGTTGTCAGATTGATAAATTTTGAATCAGCTTCATATTAGAACGTTGCTATTCTCCATCTAAGTTTAAAGTTTTGTAGATAAAGCAATTCGACTTAGTTGTTCGTTAATTAAAAACAGTAGGAATCAATATCAGTCGCAACTTTCCTACGTTAATTATTTTACAGTTTAAAATTAAAATTTGTACGAATAAGTAATTTGAATTTAAAAATTTATAATTCCTTTTTTTAATTTTCAAGAAAAATAAATGATTTTATTGAATGGTTAATTTGATAATTTAAGTAAGATTAAAATAATTATTTCAGTTTATTTTTCAAATTTTTATTACTTAAGCATGTAGAGATTAAGAGTAATTAATGTAATTATTTTATACTAATTGGGCTGCAATTTGAAAAATTGTAGACCTATAAATTCCCATTGCTCTCTGTCTGGCTGTCTTTCCTTAATCTGTAGAACGTAGTTAGATAAAAGTTGAGACCTGATGTGGACACCGTGGGGATACTCGGCCCCGATTACCTATATAAATACTTCAGGTCTCGAATGGAATACACGTGAATTCAATTCAAATATTTTTCCCTGAATGGAATTACATAGATGGCCGGTACGAATCTGTTGTTAAAGGAAAAGTATGCTGTACAGGGGCAAGCCACTACTAATTTGAGGTGGAGAGCATATATTTTAAATTAAATAAATTAAAAATATGATTAAAAATAGCAACCTGGTATTGTGACGATGTCATAATAAACAATTTAGCTCAAAATTTTAAAATAAAATATGTGAGTCTATGTGAGAACCCAGGCAAATTATTTGATTATAATTCACCCGATTTAAGTTTTTTGAATTTATGCATTTTTATTTCGCCAAATTATAACAGCAAAGATGTCATAGATACCGTTCAGGAACTTCAGAACTTTTTTCAACCACATTTCGTGTGAGTGTACCGTGTATTCTAGCCGTGCTCCACCGCCGATCCCTTCGATCACCCCGCCGTTCACTGAACCTTAGACGCCTTTCACAATAAACATTCGAACAGTACCATCGAGGAGTCGAAACCTACCCAAACCAGCGGAAACCGTCCTCCATTCGCCACATTCATTTCCATACGTAGCCGCTCGCGCACGTTCCACAAACGCGGAAAAAAATCGAAGGTTTCTCTGTTCTCCAGAAAACACAGTGGTATTAGAAGCATAACAGGGAAGCCGCTATACGGATTCCACCACTATATATTAAACTAATGCCTATAAATAAACGAATATGCAGAAGAATTCGCTTATTGTAATCATTTTGGGTTTCGTTCATACTGTTTGTTTGTTTGCGTGTTTAGTTATGGCAACGCAACATTTGGGCGATCTGCCTAGAGGGATGCCTTCCGTGAGGTCTTTTTAAGGGAAACTGGCCCATATTTAGGCGTTACAGACGTGGAGAAAACCCGGAAAACTCCACGTGGACAGCCCATCCGAGCGAGGTGCGAACCCACGATCGAACCTCTAGTGTTCAGGGAACAAAGACCGCTTGACCACTGGTGGGCACCGTTCATACTGATGTTTATACCTGCAGCTAGGGGCGTACAGCACGTGCAATGTAACCAGGAGGCCATATTGTCGAAATTTTATTCTTTAATAATTTGAAAAAAAAATTTATGTAAAATTTTATGACATTAAACATTTATAATAAATAAATACTGTAATATAGAAGAACTATATTAACATACGACAACGCTATATATACTATGTATTATCAATTAACATAATTAATTATTTCTTATTTACTCTCTTTCTATATATATAAAATATTTAGCTTAAAATCGTCAGTAAATTTTTGAACAAGTGAGTAAACCGAAGAGGGAGAAAAATAAAGAGAGCGAGTATTGATCAAAAAGCAAGAGGGAATAGGAGTTTTGACCGCCCACCCTACGAGAGGTAAAGCGAAGGGAACGGGGTTGGCCCCTCGTCAGAGGTTGAATCATGTTGAAATTTTCTTATGAATAATTTATATTGGGAACCCGCACGGCGTGCGAGCGAAGTGAATCATGTAACCATGGAATTGAAACGTTCTTCTATGGGAAAAAATCGTGATGTCCGACCAATTCGAAAATTCGAAAAAAAAGAATTTTTTCTGAAATCCGGATGTTATTCTATGTTCGATTTTGATGGAGAAAATTTAAAAAAAAAAGAAAAAGTTATTCATTCGAGAATCCTTCTTAAAAGTTATATGCAATTAATAAAGCAGGTAATTTATAAAAATGTTGTTCTAATATACTTTTTAGATATTACTTCGATAATATCTAAAAACCCATTACCTGTTGCATACCTCGTAAAATTTCGTGAAATTTGATAGTAATTAAAATGCTGCATACAGAATATAAACCATAAAATGAAATATAAAGAATAAATTATTAAATAGTAGTTTTATTTGTAGGAAGGTTAAACAGAAATAGTAAAAACATAAATAGCATTAAATAAGTTTTCACCGACACAAAAAGAAAAAATGTACTTAAAAAATTCCTAACCGTATGGTTGAGTTTTAATTAAGTTACAATTAGAAAAGTTATTTCAAATTATTATTACAAAAAAATAAAATGCCAATTGCTCCAGTTTACATTAAAAAGAAGAAGTTAGCTGCGTTACAAAACACAAAATGAAACATGAATTTACTAAACATTTAGCTAATTTTGGCAAATATCATTATAATATTATGATCAGTAACGCCAAGGTCTCCATTATTGCACTCTTACTTGAGTCTTATGTTTATATAAATTATTTTATATATTAATTAGTTCATTAATATCATATGAGAAATGTTTTACGAATTTCAGTTTCAGACTGATCTCTACATATCTTAGATTCTTCAGATGACGAAATTATTTTTGTAGGCAGGAGGCCATCAATCAAGGCGCAACTCTGCTGTCAATGATAAAGTGATCACATTAAACGAAAATTCTAGTTTTATTCGCTCTGAAATATATCCAAATCCGAAACTCAGAAACTAATGTTAAGAAGTGAAATTCCATATAACAGAATATGTACAGAAATGGAAACGAAGGCTACCAAGAGTTACTCAAGTTAAATAATAAACTAAACAGACAAGGTATGCGAAAAGATTCAGGAAGAGGTTCATTTAAAGCTGAAAGAGACAAAATCGCCTAAACTTTGGTCAATAGTCAATAAGAAGAAGGATTATAGGAAAATGTGAAACAAACTTTATTACTTGTAAAAATAAACCCTCAACGAGTTGTTCAATTTTCCCGGCAACATTTAAAATTTTGGTGGCGCCATTTGTTATCGGTTTTTATTAAAACATTTTTATATTTTTAACTATTATAAAATAGCAAAAACCTTAATTTTGAGGGTAAGAATGAGCTTTATAACAAATTATTGATATAAATGCTAATAACGAGTAAAATCGCCGTTAAGTCCGACCCTATTGGAGATACACACGACTTCCATTATCTCCCCACCCCACCCCTTCGACCTTTAACCAACAAAATTTAACAACGTTAATCTCCCTTATAACTACAGTGACCATATTTTTTGGGGGGAAAATAAAGGACATATCGAAGAAAATCAAAAAATACCTTATAAAATTCATAAGTTTATAACATTTATTATGAAAATAGTAGCATACAACAAGAGTACATTAAAATTTTAAACAATCTGAATTATTACACATACATTGTAAAAATTTAAACAACATTAATTTTGATACTTTTCAGTAGAATTAATTTTTTTATAGCGCCGTTTCACGCTTTAAAGTCATAAAACTCCATACAGTTCATTTGAAAGTTGTATTTGACGGTAATACATGCTTCTAATCTGCTTACTTTTAAATGGGTTTTTTCATTCGTCCGCATATTATTCAGCAATGAAAATATTCGTTCAACAGAGGCATTAGATCCAGGGAGACAAAGAAAATTCTACGATTTTACAAATGTTTTTGAAAACAATTTCTTTTGCTGTAAAATGTTCAAAAATCTCAATTCACCTTTTATGGCAGGGCTGGTTATTCTGTCACCATTCATCGATCTTTTCGTTTGTGACATATTTTTTTACACATGAAACTTCATCAAATAATTCACCGTCGAGTATATTTACGAACCAATGATTCGAAATAAAGATATAGCTTTCCTCTACTTTCGACCACAAAGAGATTTCGCATAATGTGACCCATTCAAATACCTCTATTTCAATAAAAAAACATGTCCCAATTATTTAGATAATCTATGCACGTTTGATAAAATGTGTACACAGCATCATTGAATTTTTTGGCTTGTATATGTTCTGAACTTTCTAATGCTAAAACCACTTTTTTAATAACAATAGGAAGAAACCCCTCATTTTTTCTTTCAACTAACTTTAGCTTTAATTAACAAGTTTGTCATCCACCAACTAGAGAGTTAAAAAACTATTACAAAAATCCCCATAAGATGTCCACCCGCTGGTACTGTCAGTGGGCCGTTTGGTTGGCGACACACTGCACTACTGCGCTCTATGTAGCAATGCAACACTGGTCGTGATGGCATACACAAAACTAACTTGTTCAATATATTATTAAAAAAAAAAATTTTTAAACTTTGCGTCAACTTTACAAAATAAAGGACAAAATGCCTATTTTAGAAAATAAATAAAGTTAAAGGATAGGACAGTGAAATAAAGGACTGTCCTCTTAAATAAAGGACGTATGGTCACTGTACTTATAACCAAAGCTCGGTACAAAATTTCAGAAATTTTCGACAAAAAGCACAAGAGTTATTAAGCTTCAAACAGGATGAACAAAATCGTGTCTCCCCAACACACGTCCATACAGAAATTATCCCCGATTTTTTTTTATTTGCATTCTCGACGTTTCAACGTACGGTAAGTCCAAAAAATGTAAAAATATTGTGGGTCATTTTTCGACCGATCGTCATATTTTCCCTCTGAAACAGCCGGGAAAGCAAAACAGTCACAAAACCGAATGTTACTTATTATTTATTAGAAATAGATAATTTTTTTTCAACGCTGTAAATCGTTCAAACAAGGCATTTGAAACTAACAGCTTGGACTTTGTTGACAACTCTGCCATTTTCAGAAATATCCGTATGCTTGATAAGTCTTGCATATAAAATACAAATGTTCTTCTCATCACCTACGCAAGAAGAAAAGACCCTATACTATGAACATCGAACCTTCTAGACATCATTCTTCTATTACACAATACAATATTGACATTTCTAAGAATTATTTTTTAAAAAATATAATAATAATCCCTTAATATTATGAGTTTGAACATTTCTTCAAGTATTTAATATTCTTTAGATGGTTTATTAAATCAATTTATTTATCCCTTATTTTAATTTTAATATGTAGGCCTAAATTATATAATAAAAATTCTAAAAATATCTATAAATTTTCGAATCTTCTAAACAAGATTCGGAAATTATAAATAATGTAAATCTTTAAAAATGTTTTCTATTAAATTAAATATTCTTTTAGTTCGTAGTAAACCCAATATAAAATGGAAGAAATAAAGCATATAATAGATTTCTTTGTCAACAAATAATCTAATAGCTTTTTGCAATATACAAATTCTTTTCGAATTCGTAATAAGAAAACGTCGATATTTAAAGTTATAAATTTTTTTTTAATACTCACAATCAAATTTGAAAATAATTATTTCAGTTTATTTTTCAAATTTTTATTTATTTATAAAATATTTTTCTTTTGTTGTGTTCCAGAACACAAAGAGAATTTAGTGTTGTAGTCATTTTCTCTTCATCCTAACAGCTACCATCTTGTCCATCACGTGAAAACATATTAACTTACAAGCTGGTGTTTCTCCACGTGGGCTTATAATGAAATGCCATTATCTCTATGAATTTCATGAATTGAAGATTAACAATCACATTCCTTCATTTGAATTTTAACTTCGCTAAGAACAATGCATATACAATAATAGACCAGGTTTTACTGTGAAACGTTATTATATAATGGTATTTTATACCGATTGTATAATGTGATATATTTGCATTTAATTTATTAAATGTACTATAACGTCACAGAACAAATCATATACACTTAAAGCTGATAAAATATGATATGATGAAATATAGCAATGCGTTTTAGAAAGCTTTTCAAAATAAATTAAGTAAATAAATAGTTTATGGATAAGAAATGCAATATTTTAAATTAAATTTGTGATCGTTTCGCTTTCATATTTATTATAAAACTTTCTTTGCAAGTATGTTGATAGTATAAACTAATGCAAGTATATCATGCAGATTTCTAGCATCCAGTGAAATGCATTTTAGCCAGGTTAGAAAAGATTTCTTACACGTGTCCTAAAATGAAATCACTATATTTTTATATATAGCATCATTACATATTGAAAAATACACGATTACACGAAGCCTGTATAAATATTTAGCGTTATGTCATGAAAACATATCTATATAAAAATAAACTTTTTAACATCTACTTATATGTACTGTACTTCTGCACACGTTTCTGATGCGTTATTTTAGATATCTGAACGGTACATATAGTAAGGATCGGCAATAGAGACTCATATGGATG